GATTATTCCAAACCCTCAGTATGTCAGTTTTCCATTTTTCCCACTTCTGTTTATTTCCTCTGACTCTAGGATTGAACACCTGAGCCCTCAGCAGCTGATTCAAGACTCTTGTGGAGCCATCCTCCTTACCTTCTCTCTCCTCCGAAATTATTTTAAATCAAGCTAATGACCTTTGAACCTTGATACACATTTTTTTTTTTCTTTGGAAGTTTTCTGGCCCGCCCCATCGGTTCTTAGTGAGGTCTGAGTGTTAGGGTGAGCTCGGTTTTACTCAACCCAGAAACCCTGCTGCTCACCCCAGGGTGATAGATGTTCTGCTGCAGGTTTCAGCTCCAGAACCACTGACATGTTGAGTCGCATAATTCTCTGTGGTGGGAGGGGCTGTCCTATAGGCAGTTTAGCAGCATCCTTGGCCTCTACTTGCTAGATGCCAGTAGCACCCTCCATCAAACTTGTGAAAACTACACGGGTCACAGACATTGTCAGATGTCTCCTGGGGACAAAAACCATCTCTAATGAAGGACGTCTCTCCTAGGGGAAAATGGACGCAGTGTAGAAGAAGCAGAGAAGTGCCTCTGTCTTTGTGGCAGGGTTAGCACTGGCCTCATAGGGAAAAGCATTTGAGCTGAGTCTTGCAGGATAAGAGTTACCTAGTGGTCACAGGAGAGTTTTCAAGGTACAAACAGGGAGGTGTTCATGGCCCTCTGATTTCTTGACCCAAATCAGCTTCCTACCACCGCTATGCATGCCTACAAACATTGTAGGGGTCACGTGTGGATGCCTCACTCTTCCCTGCCTCAATGATCTTACTCATTCCATGTGAGTGGATTCCATGTCCATATGTCCAGATTCTTTTGGGTTGGCCCTAAAGTTTGTTTGGGTTTTTCTGTCTTACAGGACAACCTGAATGAACTTTTGGGCCAACTCGATACAATTGCTGGTTATACTTACCATGCTGTGCACCACCTTTGGAAAAAATATGTTGGATTTCTAAAGCGAATTCCTCTTCATCTTTATTATTACTTTCTCTTAAGCATTAAGAGAAGGCATGTCTACAATTCATTATTGTTTTTTCCTAAATTTTATTTATTTTTGCCTGTACTGGGTCTTCATTGCTATGTAGACTTTCTCTAGTTGTGGCAAGTGGGGGCTTCTCTCTAGTTACAGTGCACAGGCTTCCCACTGTGGTGGGCTCTCTTGTTGCAGAGCATGGGCTCTAGAAAGCTTGGGTTTCAGTGTATAATTGTGCATGTGGGCTCAGTAGTTGTGGCGCCCAGGCTTAGGTGCTCCAAGGCACATGGGGTCTTTCAGAGATTGAACCTGTGTCCCCTGCATTGGCAGGCAGACTCTTTAACCACTGGACCACCAGGGAAGTCTCCATTATGTCTGAATTTTGGATTGATTGAGGGACTAGGTTATGCAATGAGCTGCAATTCCCAATATGCTGGATTTGGGATTGTGGCAGATTTCAAGTATCACTTCAGATGGTCGTATGGTGGGTTGTGTTGGTTACTGCACAATCATTCGTGAGAAGAGACCCAAGTTCTACTTCACCTGGGATGTGACTCATATTGTGACATACGGATTTAAGGGTGGAGGAGGAGGGAGTCTGCAGGGAGGGAGGGAGGGAGGAATTGACAGATCCTCCTCCAGGTTGCTAAATTCCAGAGTTGCTCTGGTGGCTAGTGGGAGTCTCATAGCAGGGGTAAATGAATCACATGGAAACACCAGTGAGTCTGGCCATTTATTGATGCCATACAATGGCAGGCTGCAGTTAACATTCTGGTTTTAAATACTGTGGTACCGACCGAGGTACCCTTAAGGAGTCTAGGCCTGGGAAAGCAGTACAGAGATGGAGAGGACAATGGATGAGGCCACGGACCACAGGCAACCACTTTGGAGGGCAGTGACAGGCAGAATTGTGCTTTCCCAACCATATTTTTTTTAATGACATAACTTAAAATAATACTAACAATATTTGAACAAGCAATACAAAAAAAAATAGCATCAAATATGTTGGTTAAGTTGTAGCACCAGATAGTTCATATCATGAGGCCTCTCTCTCGAAAGTAAATTGCTGTGCACTGATTTCATTGGCCTAGGGCTTCATCCTAAAGTCAGAAGTGCTATGACTTGTAATCTCTGGTGAAGCAATGTGTAGCTTTCAGAGTTTCGGGGATTTTAACCAATTGATTGGGAAATTATGACCTGAAACAATATAAATCCTTCAAATCATGTTCCAGAAACATGATGAACATTATCAACAATACTCAATATCTGAAAGCTTCACACTGGGATGGCTCCACCGCGTAGAGATGGATCAGGAGATTTGGACAGAGATACACTCTTGTTTAAGAAGTCCCAACATTAAAATGAGTCACTCATACAAAGGGGTAGCTGCTTGTATCATAAATTGATTTCATTTTTACAAAGGTATTCACTCTTTAGTCTCTTGAAATGTTTCCTCATGGTGGTTTGAATTATGTTTGGATGTTCAAGAACTAAATGAACCCATACCTTTTCAGAGAAGAGTTAAGTCTACCACTGGGAAAGGTGACATAAACCAGATTGGGCTTGAGAACCTTTATGTATTGAAGGCCCCATGGTGGCCTCTCTGGTTCATGGTAGATGCTTATCCAGTGTCTCTTGCTACACTTCTCACTTGCTTGTTCAAGGGGGAGGAAAGGAGGCCTTGGAGGAAATAAAGCAACATCGCTACTTCACGTTGGCCCCTGTGAGCACCAAAAGAATGGTGAGATGTCATCTAGGTTCTTGTCTTTCACGTCTTCCTGTTAATCTGAGGTCCCTCTCTTATTGCTAGCATGGGGACCTTTCAAAACCCTGATGACCCAAAGTTGAGTGACTGTCAAGGAAACAACCATGTCAGATGACTCCAGTAGCAAGTACTATCTTGCGACCCAGAATGACAGATGCTACACAACTGTCTTACCTCACAGCCTCAATAGAGGAAGTGAATGTTCATGATGTAGGATTAGGGGCCAATATTCTGCCTTTGAGAAACAAGAGAAAGGCCTAGAATCGGGCACCTGGCCAGACCCTCTCTACATTTCTACCATCTTTTCCTCATGGGTCATAAATAAAATTTTGCATATTGGGAAATCTGGCCTAGTTTGCTGAGGTCACGGGAATCTGGGTTTGTTCCTGAGTTTTGTAAAACTAGTCATATCCAGGGCTCTGATGACATGCATGATCCTGGGATAGCAGTTGTTGTTGTTCAGTTGCTAAGTCTGTCCGACTCTTTGTGACCCCATGGACTGCAGCATGTCAGGCTTTCCTGTCCATCACCATCTTCCGGAGTTTGCTTAAACTCATGTCCACTGATTTGGTGATGCCATCCAACCATCTCATTCTCTGTCATCTGTCATTCAGTCTTGTCCAACTCTGTCCAACTCTTGTCCGACTCCTTGCAACCCCAGCCAGGCTCCTCTGTCCATGGAATTCTCCAGACAAGAATACTGGAGTGAGTTGCCATTCCCTTCTCCAGGGGATCTTCCCAAATCAGGGATTGAACCCATGTCTCCTGCATTGCACGCAACTCTTTACCATCTGAGCCACCGGAGGAGCCCTGGGACAGCAGAGTACCAGGTTAAGTTAAATCCATCCAACTTACTAAATTAATCCCCTAGAAAGCCTATACTACACTTCAGGGACAGTTTTTGCAAATCACCTCATTAGGAAAAAAATCAGGTTCTCTTTGACTCCTGTCACTGACGATTTAAGCATCTTCTCTCTAAAACGGATTTCACCAGAGACTGTCATTGGCCAGTAATGTTTAGATTTAAGGACAGAATATAAGAACCTAATCATACAGAAATAAATTCCCTGGTTTTGGTAAACATTTTTACTTTGCTACTGTGTCTGGTCCTATCTCAAATTCCATCCCAACACCAGTGTTTTATTTTCCACAGGCATTTATCAGAATAATATACAGTAATGGCTTGAAAAAAAAAAGCGCATAATACAAAAATTTTCAGCTTCTGGTATCCAAGCAATAGAACTGGCGTTGGCCAGCAACACCATTACACATTTAACAGAAGATGCATATGGATTTGCCCACTTGTACATCTATCTACATGTTTATATTTGTTCTGCCACCATCTGGATATTAGCACCATGTTTCAATAGCACCATTCTGCTGAACGGAGAGATAACTCAAGGGAAAGATGGGACACTGTGCTCCATGGTGAATGTTAATGGTACTTATGTGTGAGTCTGAAGACACACGACCCATGACATGAAGATGACTCTTCTGCCTTCCCCCCCGTCAAGAGCTGGTTCTGAAGGCTTCTTTCCCTGGGGTCTCTACTCCTCTCACCCTCCCCTGATTTTCCAGGTTCAGTTCATATAAACACCTCCTCTTACAAACCAGAAAATTCACCTTCAACTTGAGACCATAACCTACTTTGACTACTGCTGGGTGATAGGAACATCAAAGATTCAGCCTTCTTAATTTTTTTGGACTCCCTGACTCACCTGTTCCCTTCAAGGAAACAAATTCTCAAAAGTAACTACTGGGTGTGCTAGAGAGTAGGTCAGCTTTACCTCCTTTTTGAAAAGCTTTTTTCTTGAGACTATTAGTTTATACAAAGTTTTTCTATACTTGATACAATTTACCTAGGTTTTAGAAATATTTTCATCTAGAGCTCCATTTCCCAACCTGAGGGTAGGTGGGCGGGTTGCAGACACAGACCTGGCTGTAGCACTTGTGATGTGCAAAGCCCCAGCGGTGGAAAGATGCTCACCCTGAATTGAAGACCCAGGCAGGGATGCGCCAGGGAAGGGACAGTCACACAGGAAGACTCACATCTCCTCTACGAAGCAATGGGTATGTGCCAGGAAGTGGGAAGAATAGAAGCCCACATTCTCTTCCTTATACAAGAAACTGATTTCTGATCATTTGTTTTTTAAGAGTTTTCATAGAAATTATCCTAAGTCAGAAATGTCTTCGGTATAACCTAAATCCCTTAGGTTTACTAAAGCTACAGTTCCTGCCCATTTCCTCTTCTTCTAGTGTCCCTAGGAAGGCACGGGAGTCTAAACAGCTCAGATGTAGAGTCTACAGGGATTAGGGACAGACTGAGTCTGTAGCCAGGACTTTTTCTTCCTGCCTCAGTTAAATATTGGGTACAGAAAGCAGTCCCCTGCCTGGATGAATTACAAGAATGTTCCTGAAAGCTCTCCCATGACATCTGAAACAGCAGCTGCCCCAAGTAGGGAGATTTAGAAAAAAAAAGAGAAAAGGGAGTGATTTCATCCAAGTAAATTAACAACTGTATTTCTTCCCTGGATAAGTGAGGCTCTGTTTCCTGATACTCTTGAGGTAGTCTGGGGAAAATATGGTCTCTGTCTGTTTTTATCTTTAAGGGAGAAACAAAAGACATCATTTCATAGACTTGTCCACCTGGGTACCTTTCCCAGGAGATGACCCCCTGAGAAGCCCAGTTCTCCTGGACACCTCCCCTGCCTATCAGGGAGCAGTGAGCCCAACAGTGCCATGACTCCTGAGGGAAACTGTGTGGCTAAAGGGACACAGCGTGCTTTTTTGTTATGAGTCAAAGTTGAACCTGAAACACACAGAGTAACACCGCGAGGAAGTGGTCCCTGGGCTAGAACATGTCCTGGTCAGCAGGCTGCTGCAGATTATGGTGGGGGGTGGCTTCCTTCTGCACTCAGGGTGCTTTGGGGATCTTGAGTGACTGTCGCTTCCTTGGCCTTTGGGTGTGGGCCACGTGCGTCTGGGAACACGAGAGGCAGCATTGAGCCCTCACGGTGGGCACGGAACATTTCTTCATGGTTTTCAGCGTCTGGCAGAAACTGGCTGATAAGTTGTCCTTGGTGCAAAGGAGATCTGTGGGAGGAGACAAAAGATGAGAAAAAAAAAAAACAAAGATGATCTTTTTGTTAAGTGAAAGAGCACAACTTCTATTAATGGAAGATTTTATATGTCTACTGAGAAAGGAGCCACAGCAATTCATAATAGTTGACATCCACTGACGGTCACTCCTGTGTAGTAATGTGTTGATTATAATAGTTCCTAATTTAACTAATAACAATGTGTTTGAGCCTAGTTATAATAATTTAAAATTCACAGTACAAAACCTTTGTACCAGCCTAATATCTTGACTGTCCTTTCCTCATACCTGATTGGACTAGATTTCTTAGGAACCATCCTCGCATATTCTGTGGGTGGTAGATACTCAGACTGCAGTGGCCTTTGTCTGGAAGAAATTCAATAAGGGCCCAATAACAGATTTTTCTTTTATAAAATGAAATTTGTTTTAAACTTTGCTTCTGTGCCTCTCAGAGCTCTACCTGATTTTCTTTCTCCATTACAGATTTGAAGAGTCCTACAGTAAAGCTTTTTACCCCAGACAGGCTGCTGTCCTTTGTAAATAGAATTGTCAGTAAAAGCAGAAATTGAGGTAATATTCCTCTTTACCCAAATCTGTGACACTGTTTCACCTCTCTCTGCATTTTTCACCTTCAGGTCACAAAGGCAAAAAATGCTTTTCACCTCCTCAGAACTCATCATTCCTTGACTGTGCCTTTTTCTTCTTCTTCATATAGAGATATCTTCTATTAACTGTCAGAATTCCATGTGGTTTGCAAGTGTTAAATGCACTTGAGATTAGGTAACATAGAATGCTCCTAGAACCCACAACCTTTTCATTGCTGCTGCTTTTCTTCTTCAGGCCTTGTCTTAAAACTATTATAAAAATCAGTGCCCCCTAGTCCCACAGGAAACTTCTGTACATGATCTGATATTTCAGAAACAGTAAGTATTTCTGCCAAGTTTTCCTACTGTGGAATAGGAATCTGAGCTCTTCATCTCCCATGTTCCTGCAGGAGCAGCAGATGTTCTCTATGGGGCCTATCAGAATGCAATGCACATCACAGGCAATCCACCCAAAGAACTGTAATGACGGGAAAAAAACCTTTACTTGTTTATATAGCCGAATGAGTACAACACATTAAATTCATGTTCTCAAGATGTGTGCATGCGTGTGTGCTCACTTCAGCCATGTCTGACTCTTTGTGACCCTGTGCACTGTAGCCCGCCAGGATCCTCTGTCCATGGGATTCTCTGGACAAGAATACTGGAGTGAGTTGCTCTTTAGAATAAGGCAGGGCTTCCTTCCTAGGCTTCTGGCTTTGGAACAGGGCCCAGCATAGATGCCTGGGCATCATAGGGTTGCTCTGATTTCTAACTCTCTCCTAAGACCCGGGTGGATGGAGAAGGTGCATCTGGGGTAACTGTCCCACAGTCTCCTTGCCATGAATCTGTGAGTGCTCCGGTGCTACTACAAGAGAAGACAGTGGAAGTCTGAAAGCTTAGCTTCCGTTCCTCCTCTCCACAAAGCTTCTTTTGGTCATGTCAGACCACATGGATCCCTTCTGCCCCAGTCTCCAAACCTGTATTATTATTGTAACATTTGCTCAAACATGGCACTATGTTCTATCTTAAACTGTTCTGTAAATGGTGTGTGAGCCTCTTCTACTAAAGGCTGAAGTGTGACCTCTCTTTAGGGTGCCCCCATTCTACTGGGTTGGCCAAAAAGCTTGTTTGGGTTTTTCTAAAACATCTGATGGAAAAACCCCAATGAACTTTTTTTGCCAATCCAACAGAAAAGTTTCTTAGAGTACCTCAAAGTCTTTAACTTGTTCTGGGTTGAATTGAGTCCTCCAAAGCTTAGGTGTTCCTTCAAAGTTGAAGTCTTAACCATTGGTACCTGTGGATGTGAGTTTATTTGGAAATATTTCTTTGCAGATGTAATTATGATGTAAATCAAGATGCAGGCACACAGAGGAAGGTGGCCATGTGACGATGGAGTCAGAGACTGGAGTTATGCAGCTACAAGCCAGGGAAAGCTGATGACCACCAGAAGCTAAGACAAGAGAGCATGATCCTACCAAGAATCTTGGTTGTTTAACTCCTTGCCTCCAGAACTGTGAGAATAAATTTCTGTTGTTTTAAGCTTCTGATAAGTTGCAAGAGCCCTAGGAAAGTAATGCACCTCCTCCCCCATAACAATGATTGATATAACAATTTATGAAGCACTAACCACATACTAGGCAATGTGCTTGATATATACTATTTCATTTGATCCTCACAGAAATTTACTTACAGGTACGTCTATTTTTCTCCTTTTAAAACTGAAGTTCCAGAAAGGCTTACTAACCGTCCCAGCATCACACAGCTGGAAAGTAGATGGTGATGCTGGAATCCGAATGTTGCCTTAGTGCCTCTAGAGCTTAGCCTCCAAGAGAACGGATCTCTTGTGCTGGTGATGGGGGAGGAGGGGCCCACATGGACAGATCTTCCCTCACCAGAACATCTTCATTTGTTTAACCCAGGGCTTCCACTTGTCAGGTCCACACCTCCAGGAATAAAAGAGGCCCAACCAAGCCTGGTGTCCTTGCCTGATCTTGGGAACCACTGGATCACGAGACCTGCTTTGCAATGGTCCTCAGAGCCCTGGGAACATGTAGGTCCCGAGTTTTCCTGTTTGAAAGTGGGGAACTGGAAGGAAGAGTGGAGGAAGGCAGTGACCTATATTAGGAGCCTGTGTTCCAGGCCTATGTTTAGCAGCTCATTTAGACAATGACTGTGAGCCCAACAACATGGCAGGGCTTAGTTGCACCAGTTCTCCTTATTATTGTAAAACAATGAAGGCTGGCTGTGTTCATCAGCCAACTGGATCCCAGCCAAAGCACACACAATGCTTATAATTAGGGGCAACTTAGAGAGGACATCCCAATTTGCCTATGTCTGTTCAATAGAAGTCACACTTGGAAACTTAAAGGGACAGTTATAAGCTTGTTCCCTTGCTGTAAGCTATGTCTAAGTTGAAGGGATAATATTTTGCCCACAAAAGGTAAAAAATAATTTCCATGTTGTTGGCAAATACAGATTCTGTAAGACTTTGGGTTCCTTGAGGCTAGGGACTGTGGCATACTCATGTCTGTATCCTCAGTTTTTAGGTTTTTCCTGAAACGTATCTTGTGATCAGCAATATTTGCTGAACAAATGAATGAATTGAAATTCTGTTCATCTGGAAGAATATATTTCAGTAGGAAGTCTGCTGAGAAGTAGCCAAGACAGAGCAGGAAGACCCTGAGCTCACCTCTTCCCACAGGCATACTAAAATTACAACTGTGTACAGAGTAACTACTGATAAGAAAGACTAGCATAAAAGATCTACAACTAAAGATATAAAGGAGAAACCGCAAGGAGACAGGTAGGCAGGATGGAGATGCAGTACAGTTAAGACCCATAACTCTGGGTGGGTGGACCACAAATGAAAATAATAACAGAGGTTCTCTGTGAGCAGGGGGCCTGACCCCCACATCTTTCCAGGTCAGTAGTCCTGCATGGATAATATGAGTCCCCAGAACATCTGCCTTAAGGCTGATAGGGCTGAAATTTAGGAGAGCCAAAGGGCTATTGGAAATAAAGACCCCATTCTTAAAGGGTTTCCCTGCTGGCTCAGATGGTAATAATTCGCTTGTGAAGCAAGAGACCCAGGTTCGATCCCTGGGTCATGGAGATTCCCCCAGAGAAGGGAATTGTTACTACTCCAGAATTCTTGCCTGGAGAATCCCATGGACAGAGGAGCCTGTGGCCTACAGGCAATGGAGTCACAAAGAGGTGGACATGACTGAGCAACTAACACTTTGATTTAAAGGGCACACACAAAATTTCACATGCTCCAGGACCCAAGGGAGAAGCAGTAATCTGAAGGCAGGCTGTCTGTACCAGGATGCCCCAGGTCAGGCAACTACCAGGTGGAGACAGAACCCAGTCACCAGCAGCCCTGCTGCTTTAAGACCCTCTGAGCTGCCTTGATTTGGCCCTGCCCACTGGAGGGCCTAGGGCCCAGCCTTTCACACCAATGTGCTAGGACTAGCTTCAGGACCCCCAGGACCCAGTCCCCACCCACCAGCAGGTTGACACATCAACTCCAGGACCCCCAGAGCCCTGAGGCCAGAAGTCCCAGGACCAGGTTTCACCCACCAGGTTTCACCCTGCAGATTTCCCTGTCAGTAACCCCTGGCCCTTGTCCATTTGGCAAGCCAACATCTCCTCTGAGACACCTTGGACCCTTCATCCAGCAGCCCCAGGATATGGCCCTACCTACCAGTGGGTCAACACCAGCTCTAGGACCTTCAGGACCCTGTAACAAGAGACCCCCGAACCTGGCTCTACCAATCTGCGGGCTGACATCAACTCCAAGTCACAGGTCACACACCAGCAGGCCAACAGCAGCTTTGGGACACAGCCAGTCATGTTGGGAACCAGCTCCACCTACAGGTAGGCTTGTAATCAGCCATCTCCTGTCCTGGCCCCACCAAGGCAGAGCCTGGCAGCAATCTACAGGAAGCCAGCCACACCTACCACACCACCCACAGCGGTCAGCCCATCACAACAGAAGGGCCCATGCAGCCCCCGTGGGGACACCTTTAGAGCACAAAGCTTTTGTGATGAGAGCGGACTATGTCGCTGGAGCACATGGATTTCTCCTACAGAAGGCTGCTTCTCCAAGGTCAGAAAACATAGCCTATCAGATACACAGAAATAAAAACAGCAAATCAGGCAAAAGGAGGCAATAGAGGAATACATGCCAAATGAAGGAATAAGACAAAATCCCAGAACTAACTGCACTGAAGACAGGCAACTTATCCAAAAAATAGTTCAAGGTAATGATTACAAAGATGCTCAAAGAACCTGAGAGAAGAGTCGGTGAATACAGTGAGAGGATTAACAAAGAAAGAATCAAACACCTGAAGAATAGAAAAGCTGAAATAAAAAACACACTAAAAGTAATTAACAGTAGATGAGATGACAGG